GTCTAAGCTTTCCTTCTATTACCACCCCAAAAGTGTAAGAAGCGCAATATGTGACAACTGAAGAGGGAAACAGAAGTGTGCCACTATGCCACTTAGCACAAATTCCCATGCAACTATTAAAAAACTAAATTACATTTCAAAGTGTTTAGTATATAAAGTTTTATGGCTATCACAATCCAAAACCATATGAGTGAAATTAATTACATCTCTTCCTGTGCCATCTGCTTGCACAGAATAGTGAACTGTACAAAGCTGGAGGGTGCTCATGACATTTAAGTCACAATTCTGCACAGCATCAATACACCTAAGACAAATATCAACCCTGCCCCAATTACAGCTGAACAGAGGAATAAAAGTCATTGCATTATAGACCATTTAAAACACCAAGCAATTAAATCCTCCAAATGGACAAACACAGGTTTTGTAACAGTTCCTGAAGATCTGTGACAGTTTATTACAAAAAATAATGTGTACATAGACACCAGGCCTAAATAATTAAAAGTGTTCTTCATTAAATCAATTACTTATCAGTTTTAAGCCTACTTAGAAAATTCAAGATGAGGAAAAAGCACAACTTGGTTTAAACTGAGAATAGGCTGTACTCCAAAACTTACGGTAAGAACGCACTCATGTTAAAATTAACTGGACTTCTGAAACTAAAAAACCCCAACATCTACCAAATGTTGACACTTACTATAAGCATCTCCCAGTAATAAATGTTTTTTTCTTATCCATTATGAGAAAGATGTGTAATCCCCGCTGGGGAGGATAGGGTGAACAACAAACAAGTTCCCTGTCTTTTTAAACATGGGTTTCATTATACAGGAATAGCATACACTTCATCTACAGAAAAAGTATAGAGTGCCTCAGGAGAACACAAAAAAAAATTACTTTTCATTATATTTACGTTGTTCTCATCTACCAAAACCTTTCAAAAAAGCACTCTGTCGAAATTCTTAGGTACTTGCTCAGTAAAATGTTTTGTTTGAAAGTTTGACAGGTCATGCTGTAACTCATGTTTGGTGGTTTCCTTCCTCCCGAAAACATTTCTGCTAACACAGACATTCAAGGCGAAACAAATACACAAAAGATGCTAAAAATATGGGTACAGCCAGGTACTTCCAATTCCTAAAAGCCACAGTTCAGAAAGAAGTTTACATGAAGACAAAAGCAAGCTTCCGGATGTAACCTGCTTCACTGCATTCCTGCCACAACACAGGAGACACCTAAGCTCTGATGTTTCAAAAGACAAAGAGAAAACAGAAAGTTTAACCAGGTTTATTTAGTTCCATGCACTGTGGGTGAGGAGTTCCACAACTTTGATAGGAGCTCTCCAAAAGCTCTTCCAAATCAGAACTTCCTAGCTAAGATTTTAACAAAGACGGTTTTGCAACAAAAAGATCTCTGGTTTGAAACAATGACTCCTGGTTAAAGTGAGGACCATTTTTAACATCATTAATATGTTGTATTAAAAATACTAGGAGGAGATTTTTCCCTAAATCAGAAAAGAAAAATAAAAAAGGATAAGAGATGGGAGATGATCAAGTCAATTAGACCTTACAGTTTTTTTGTTTGTAGTTTGTGTAACTGTAACACAAAACAAGGCTTACAATTAACATTTCAGCACTGCTTGAACAGTTTAAATTACCAGACTAGAGTAGCCTAGACACAGATTAGTTTGGTAGATTCTGTGTTTGCCGGTGTAAGACCTTTCTGCTTTTTCACTTCATGCAAACATGAATTCAGTAGCGGGTCACATTTGGGCTTCTTCATTCAGTACCTTGCTTCAGTACAGTGAGAGAAGCTTGTATTTTTTACTTAGGATTTAAATTAAGGCTCCAATCCAGAACTCCAGAAACCAAAGATTCAAAGTGAATCAGTTTTAACTTGATGTCCCTTCCACATTTAAATCCTGAGAGGATTAGTGGCATTCAATTCTTTCAGTGTTTCTGGAGGACAAAACTTCTCTTCTTAAAAAGAGAAGTCTGGTAAAACAGAGTTTTGAGCTTTGATCTTAGTATTAAATCATCCTCCCATATGCAGAAAAGTAATTTTACATGTAAAGCACACTGCTATAATCTTAAACTACTATTTATACATCCATGCCAACTGCTTGTCTTTCATTTCTCCGTAAGATTCGCCTGGGATGAGCAGAACAGGCATACACGAACATATGCTTTCAAAACAACAGCAGACTAGTCACTTTTAACAGCTATTAATATCTGTAGGGAAAAATTACAAATTAAATTAAAAAACCCTAATATTTCCTAGTTGGCCAAATAAGGATACACTTGGTATTTTCTATGCAAAAAAATATTACATTAATAAAAACGGTAAGTCACTTACTAGTCAGCCTCCTAGCCTAATTTGATTTCACACTGGTAATTCAATACTGATTAATTCTATTCTTGCTGGGTTCTATCTTTAATTGTGCAATGACTTCATGGACACACTTTTAGAACTGCAGTCCAATGAATACACCAGGTGTTGATATTTCTGCTATCGTCCCCTTGTGAAAGGAGATTGATTATTCCAAAGTGAAGGGGGGGGGTTGTCACAAAAATTAGAGATTAAGTAATTCTAGATTATTACTAATAATAATTACCAAACTAATTCTATATTATTACTGGAAGTGGGAACTGGGCTCCATGCTTCTGTATAATTATTTTTAATCAACAGAAAGGCAGTAACACTGTTGGTTTGTTTTTTTTAAATACCATATGTGGTTAAATACTCTTTGAAATCAGCCAGCAGAGAGCAAGCAATGTCTTTATATAAATCTATTAACTAAATTCTGAATATACTCCCCTGTCAATGCCATATCCAAAGTCAGCGGACACCCAACTATAAACTCAGTCCAATTCTGCTTTCTAGACACAACATGACTGATAGGAGTCATGCTGAAAACCCTTTGTTTAATTTCAGTGAGTAAGAGCTGAAGTCTGCCATTATCAGGCCCTCCTATTTTACAATCAATCAAGATTCCTTTGAGAAACTCAGTCACTCAGAATTCTTCCACAGACCATGAAAGCAAGCTGATGGGTGCTGTAACTTTTGCCTTTTAATGCTGAAGAAAACGAGTCTGCACAACAGACCTATTATTCTTCATCACTTCCTTTATTAATAATTTAATTTCTGCAACATACTGCAGGCTAGTTTGCTTAGCATTCCTTCTGTGCAAGCAGTCCTCTCATCTTCATGAGGGCAAGAAGAGGTAGGTGTGGGGGATTACTAATCTGATTCTCAAAGCATTCATCAATCTCAGAGATTTTTAATGGATGAGTGTTCTAAAGGTCTGAAGGAAATCAGATCTGAAGACAGTAATGGATCACCCGTTTCTTCAAAATTTACATATACAACAACAGCACAGAAGGCCAACATCACATTTGTCTGTGCAAATCTGTACCAAATAACAAACTCAAAATAGGCATTATACAACAAATACCCTTCTAATGCTAAAAACTTTGTTCCTGGCAGAGCTGACAAAGTTGCATGAAATACCAGCAGATTTCACAAACAGTATGTTTTATATGTATTTTCACATGAAAATATCAGCACTATCTGCAATCCAATCTTTATTTTTTTTGAGAGGAGCTCCTCAGCCTCAGTCTCCTTTAATACCTCATTGACTCAAAATTAATGCCCTTCAGAAGCAACTCTATCTCACCACATACAAACAAGACAGAACCTAAAAGTTCTTTACTATATGTGTATGATGTATGTGCATCCATAAAAGTCGAAGAGTCCTAGGTTCAGATGCCCTAGAACGACATTTTCAGAAACAACCTTTGGTGCATGAGACTTTCAGTAGACTGACTTCCACAGTTTTTTAGCACTGAAGTTTTAAAGTATCCCATTGATTTTTTTTAGTCAGTTCTGAAATCTTTACATGAGCTTTTAAGTGCTTGGTTGCAGGCTATCTTGAATTAATCCCTGTCACTAATTTCATCCTAAACTGCTCACACCCAACACGCTTTTTCCAGTGGCTAGAGATCATGCAGAAGAAAAAGAAACCTAATCACTCCTAAGTTAGAGTCCTTCCATTTCAATGTTAAAGATCAAAAAGAGACACTGTATTTACCTCTTAAGTAGAAAGGTAACCTCTTAACTACATTTCCCTGCAATAACTTCCTGAAGTAACTTACTCTTCTCTGGTACATGAATGTAAATATGAACTACCACATCCAGAGTAACACATAAGTAAATATTCAATAAATATGTTTTTGATTTAGTAATTCTCCTAATTACTTTTAAAGTCTAGGGTTCAAATTTACATCTGTATTTGAAAAAAAATAATCAATACTTTCCAACTAATCATAAAGCAATTTATCACATCTGTTTTCATCTGAAAGCCGGTGTCCTTTGCATCATGTTCATGTTTAAAATTTAGCAAACAAACATTCATTTCAAAATCTCCAAACCATACAAAATAGAATATCTTTATAAGGCTAATCTAAAATTTAGATTTCGCTATATTCTATTTTAGTCTCTGAGACCTAAGAATTTGCAGAAAACTGACACTACACACTATCCTTCTAACACTGTTTTTAAGATGGATTTCCTCAAAAAAATTGCTTACTATTGCTAAAACAACTATTTTACATTCATAATAATTACATAAGTGGACTACCATAGTAAATAACAGGAAGAAATGGTACCAGTAGTTTTTATTTCCCAGAGAAGGCATTTTTTTCCTGACACAATATTTCAGCTTGGTGATAGGAAACCCTGCAGGTTGCATCTGTTAATTTAGAGGGCTTAAAGTATAAAGCTACACTGCTACAGTGGGGACTACCTTTTACAAGTAATTTAAATTAGCTGTTCTGCCTGCAAAAATGAAACAAACAAATGACTCATTCAGATTGGTTCACTCCTATCTGATGCTTGCTGTGCTGCCTAACCATTCCAAGTTGGAACTGTGATATGACCTCTACAGCTTCCAGTTCATTCCACCACCTCATTTACTCTGCTCAAGTAGCCTTACAGTTAGATGAGCATACCTTCAGAGTTCAGCGTAATAAGGGTGACGTTGTTTCCAATACTTTGGCTTCCTATTTGTCCGCTGTTGGAAACTGAGTCACTGGCTTCAGAGCCACTCTCTCCATCTTCATTGTGACTGTCATCATGCCCAGGAACCTTCACCACTATGGTGTTCTGCCTACGTCCAGGAACAGCACTATGGAAAAGAAAAGTAGATAACTTTGGGAAAAACACAATCCTTCTTTAGGAATAGCATCATTGTGAGGGAATTGAAAACACTGACAAAATTACATATATTATAAAAGTATACTCCTTCAAACAATCCTACTCCTGTTCATAACTCAAGTTATGATCTTACTCTACTGTTTATACATCCATGCCAAATGCTTGTCTTTAATTTCTCTGTAAGATCCACTTGGGATGCAAAAAAGCAGCACAGGTACACACTAACATATGCATTCAAAACACAGACTAATCACTTTTTTTCTTTTTTGCTATCCAGCAAAATAAAATGGAAAGAAAACTGCAGAAGAAAAAAAAAAGTTCTAGATACACTTTTTAAATTTGCATCAGTGGAAAAGTCTGGGCCCAATGTGCAAACAAACAACAAAAAATTATATTATTTAAGAACATTTTCTACCCAAAATCTCCAGTTCCACTTTATTTAAAATTTGCTTTAGACAGTATAAATTCTAACAAGCCTTCCTTCTTCAGCTGGTTAAATACGGGATCTTGGCACGTTCCTATGTGATTATGCATCCATGTAAAACACATGGAGCTGTGGACACTCTTTCTTTCAACTAACATTGAACTAATCCTACATCCTCCAACATACTCTCACCCCATCACGAGTGAAGCATTGCTTTATACCTTGCCTTTTTGATACAAGGCCTCTACAGGCAGAACTGTCCGCCTGGTAGAATATTCAGGTACCAGTTCCATGTCATTCTCTACACTATCACCTAGAACATTTCTCATTTCTTGTCTTCAAAATGCTGCAGAGACTGGATCTGTCAAAGGAGGGAATGAAGGGGGAGAAGGGGGAGGATTCCCGTAACCGCTACTAACTTGCTAAGGATATTTTCCAGAGAATCCGCTGCTCTGCTCAGGGGCTCTTCCTGCCCAACCATCTTGGCTACAATTGAATTCTGCCGGTCATTGTTCAGTATTACTGTTGTCTGAGGGACAACGCTACAAGACAAAAATCAGAGAGGAAAATGGAATGTAAAGGAGCAGATCTTATAAATAATACATTAACAGTCTTATGGTTTAAACAGTCTACTTGGAAGCAAAAACTGCCTGTATGCCTTGCTCTTCCTCCCAGCATCGCAGTTCTGTATCAAATGCTAACACTGGTAATCCATCGCATTTGACATCTGTACCATTTCAAGTACTCAGCTTTTTCAGGGGATGCACAGCTTCAGCGGAATTATATAGAAGTCTACCACTCCTGGCAAAGCAATAAGGAATTCATCAACTCAAGATACACAGAAAAAAGTCTGTAAATCACTGCTCCAAACAGCCACCAGATTTTTGCTTTGAAAAGTCTGAGCGTGGGCATTTTCAGAGATTTAAGGCAGACTTACATGGTAATGCACCATTTGAGTAGGATAATTCTCAGGAAAAATAATGTAAAAGTGTTTATTGCAAAACAGGGTGATGAGCTTAGTTAAAAATCATGCATTGCCTTGCAGGGCTGAGGGCTTGTGGAGGGAAGGAAGACAAGATGGGTACTAGAGGCATCAAAGCAGAACAGGGACAGACTGCAGCTTCAAATAATGACAAGACTGAACTAATGCTTGTGTGCATTTAACATACAAAAACCAAATATTTAAACAGAAAAGCATTTAGCTTGTGAGAAACCAGAAAGCCTTCACTAGCACTTACAATGTAGAAGAAAATTACTAGACAAATGTTGTATAGAAAAAAACATATTAGATCTACATTATAATACAAAAGTAAATATGAGAGCTAATTGGCCCTGGCATGCAGCTTATCTTTTGATTTGGTTTCACAGATTATAAACATTATTCCCACACAATTACTCAATATTCTAAGGCATGGTTTTGATACTTAAGACTGTTTCCACTGTGCTCATCGTAAAGTTAAGGACAGAACTTAGAAGAAAAACTTCTGTCTCTAAATCACGCATGCATTTTCTTCTTTCTCTCTGCTTCACACAATAAATAGCCCACTATTGTTTTTACCATCCAACATCTCAAATATGACTGATGGACATTTATTTTTCCTAACTGTATCTCTCAACTAATTGATGAAACACACAAATCTGATGACAGCAACTGTTTATTTCAACTGTAATAGGCTGCCTCACTGCTTAAATATTTGTGTGTCTACTTAAGACTTTAGGTGCTACAATAGCCATTGGTAAGACCTAAATAAATGATAGGAAACTGCGCTAAGAGCTAAGGATAAATGAATCAACTTTGGCACAGACAAAGTGGTTAACAACAGGTTTTTTGGATACAAAAAGACCCAGGGCTACCTTTCTTCAACAATAACTGCATCTGGTGCTAGCTACAAATGGAATTCCTCATGGGCTGCCAAGGATCAGGTGGACTGCAAATCTTGAGAAGCTCTAGAAGATGTTTGTCTCATCATAGATGAGTACTGACTGTGCTATAGCTTTTCATCTGTATATGAATAGTCACCCTTTCAGAAGTTTCTCCATTACCAAGGGGGAGAAAAACCTACACATTCTTTATAGAAAAAAAAAAAAAAACAACATCTGTCTGTTTTCTCAATGCCAGCATCAAACATTTCAAAACAAAAACATCCCACACCAAATACCTGATAAATGCGACACTTGGCAGTGGCAACGCTAGCAGCCCCCCCAGTCTAGCATCAATATTATGTGTTCCTGTTACATATCCCAAATTGCCCACATAGCCACATCTGAAGTTTTTACAGGCTGGTTTAAAATGTTCAAGAATTTTACACTTCCTTTTAGACACTGTTCTTTATCACCATCTTTCCTGAAATCACTTCAGAATGCCTGTTTAAAATGTCACTTACCAAAGCTTATTTTTAATGAACACTCTGAATAATTAATTTCAGCTGTAGAGATAAATGCAATAAAATTACATTTATAAAAGTCCTTAGGATTTTATTCATATTAAGTTTATATTTGGAAAAGGGAGACTTAGCACTAAAAATTGGCATAAAATAGGGAAGAAGTTGGGGGAGTTGCCCTTGGGGGTTTTCTTTAGGAATACTCATTTTTAAGGAAGGCAATCTAGAGCGTGAGCTGGATAGCTAATTTAAGAAAATTTAGAATAAGGAAATGCTTTTATATAGCCCACCAGCACAGAGTTATCCCCTCTTCAAAGCATCAGTTTATGTTCAAGCTTGCCTACTTTAATGCATAGACATTTTTTACAATTTATCCCTAAACAAACACCCACGAAAACACTGGCTTCTCTCCAAGAATTAACTTTTCCCAGTTAGCAGACTGAATTATTGACAAGAAAAATCCACCTGCAGTTGTTTTGGGAGGAGCCACTAACTAAACATTTCATTTTACTGACACATATTTTCCCGGTTATATAGCACAAAGGCAAAACCAGACACCACATACACAAAGAAAACTTCTGCAACAAGCCACAACTACCACCAAATTGTCCACCAATTGTTTTACATGTGGAAATGAACTGTTCTCAAGTTGTAAGGAATCAAAGAACCCATAAAGCAGTTTGGAGGAAAGACAAAAGTCACATGAAAGCACAGTGCTAGAAGACAGCTAGAATAATTGTTTGGAAACGTTCAACACCACACAACAAATCAACAACCACCAATTAACCTTTCTCTGTGATTTCCATCTCCTGAGTAGGAGCTCTAGTTTGAAAATAACTGGAGTTTCTTGTTTATTATCAGGAATCATTAGTGTTGGATAAGAGTATCTGTATCTACTAACACAAAGACTCCAGTAAAACTCAATGCTTTCTCACTCTTAAAGAAGAAATTATGTACGGTTTATGCTTCACTCCTGAAGAGAGATGCTTTCAAAAGCAATCTGCATGAGGTGAATGGGGTAACCTCTCAATTCAAATCATAAATGTTAACCAAGGAACTACAATTCTGGTCCATGATATACATCGAACAAGAATGGCAACAGATTTGCTAACAAATTCTGACAATGAGGCATCACAAGGCAGAAAGTTTTCAGAGCTGATGCTGTGAAACCTGAGCAGTTACTTACTTGGAAGAAAATAACAATTTGGACTAATACAAAAAGGTTCCACTATACTTGAAAAAGGAGAATTTCACATGATTGTCTTAGGCTCCAACTTGTACACGGGAAAAATGGATATCCACAACATTCCCTGCAGATACGGGAATACGCTTCCTGTTAGATTTCCTGTGAGCTGTTCTATTCTCTGTTTTTAGATTATTTATTTTAGAGACAACAAGAAATCCAATGAATATAGAATCATACAATAGTTAGGGTTGGAAAGGACCTTAAAATCATCCAGTTCCAACCCCCCTGCCATGAGCACACCTCACACTAAACCATATCACCCAAGGCCACGTCCAACCTGGCCTTTAACACCACCTGGGATGGAGCATTCACAACTTCCTTGGGCAACACATTCCAGTGCCTCACCACCCTCACAGTAAAGAACTTCCTCCTTATATCCAATCTAAACTTCCCCTGTTTAAGTTTTAGCCTGTTACCCCTTGTCCTACCACTACAGTCCCTAATGAAGAGTCCATCCCCAGCATCCCTACAGCCCCCCTTCAGATACTGGAAGGCTGCTATGAGGTCTCCATGCAGCCTTCTCTTCTCCAGGCTGAACAGTCCCAACTTTCTCATCTGATCTTCATACGGGAGGTTCTCCAGTCCCCTGATCATCCTTGTGGCCTCCTCTGGACTTGTTCCAACAGTTCCATGTCCTTTTTATGTAGATATACATGTTACTATACATACATGTTAATATACATGAAATTAAATATGGAATTCTATGGAAAGCCAAAATATTGGGCTAACCTGACAAAAATCCAGAGGAAACCATTAAAAATTATTTCAGCCTTGCTCATGCTCATACTAGATTATTCTAATTTTTTTTTTTTCAGTCTGTACAACTCATACTGGTGATTAATTTACTTTAATCATTACTTATATACTAAAATACAGAGAACAAATTACAAAGGAGGAAAGCTTCTGATATTCACTCCGATCCCAAATGAAGCAATTCTTCCTAGGAGTGCTGCCAGTACTATACTCATAGAGAAGATGGAAAGAAAACATTAAGAAGGGTCAGGGGGAGTACTTCAGAAACCCCATGTTGCTGCACAGGCTTCAGGACTTTCCATTTGTGTTCACGTGCTTCTTTCCCCATAAGCATTAGAACTTGGAGAGACTCATCCTGCAATTTTCCTATTCTTGGACACAACTCAGTGAAAAATTTAAAATGCATGCAACCTACAGATAATATTATATTCTGGGAAATATTTTTGAAAGCAGTTTACCAAATACTCTGTTAATTTAGAGGTGAAAGTATTTCTAGAAAAAATAAACATACCAGATAATGATTTTCAAGTGTACACATTTAGCCTCTGCCTTTTCTCTTTTTTTTTAATATAAAAGGACATTCTACATTTTGCATAAGAAAATTGCTGCCAAAGATAGTTTTCAGTATGGAAATGTGTGAGTCATAGATACGATCATTAGTCTTAACTGTTGGTTTTTCATGGCCAACAACCTGTCAATCACACGGAATGCACCCAATGACATAAAAGAACTTTTGGCAATACCAGGACCATAATCTCCTCTTCCCATATGAGTTTTTCACTTAGAAAGAGAAAAATAAGGAATAAGGAACTGACATTTCTATCTTCCACAAGGTACAAGATCAAAAACGTTTCTCTAAACCAATGAAAATGACCTGTGATGAAAATCAGACCAAAGTTTTCAAACACGAGTGCTCTATTTAGACCATTTCTGAGCCTCCTTTGAACATGTGATCTTGCAAGCAGGTAACTAAGAGCTCAGCTTCGGGACTCTGAACTAGCCACAGCCTCACAAACTGCTGCTTCCTGGCCATGTAATACCTTGTGGTCACTCCAATGCTCACACAGCAGGTGCTGCTTATGTGGAGGACGCAGGGCTCCTGAGGGTATCATTGTTTCATCCTCTAGTGAACATCTCAGAAGGAGATACAGAAAAAGAGGGGATCAAGAAGGCTGGAGTTGGAGTTAGCCCTGGCAGACTG